TGCAACCTATGCCCTTTGCTTGACAAATGCATGGCTGCACAAATCTCACGAGTGGAGTGACTGGACTCTTGAGGGGGCGATTTGAATCTTGAGATGTTTTTAATAAATTGCCAGGCAGGGTTGGGAACATAACAATTTAGCCAAGGCTGGCCAAACTTTTTTAGCCAGAGCCTATGTTGGGTCCCCCCACATTTATCCAGGTACCCAACGTCATTTTATCCACTTTTGAGCCCAAGCTTGAAGAAAACCGGATTTGTGGCACGTTGGGTACCCTCACAATTTATCCACCTTTAGGGGACCCAACCCCACCTGGTGTAGCCGAAGGAGGATAATCATATTGTCCATCCTCACAATCCCAGAAGCCAAGAACTCTGTTGTATTTGTTATTCACACATCTGTGTCCTCACCATCCCTGTCGATTCTTCCTTCACGCGACGCACGACGCAGGACGCCCGGCTGATCGGATCCTTCGTGCTGGGCATCGCCTTCATGCACGCCATGGAGGCGCGGTTGGGCGTTCGAGACCGAGAGGAGAAGGTCGGCGTTCGAGACAGGTATCGTTGGGTTGGTGGGTTGGTTGGTCGCGTTTCGTTGGTTGGTTTGGGTTGGGTTGGGTTGGTTGGTTTGTTTCTGTGGGTTGCAATTTGCTTGCGGACCTTCTTCCCAGTTGCAGGGCGTCATGGTTGTCGCTGACACGTTATCAGAGGGTGGAAGAGGTTTTGATGGAAGGAGCAGAATATAATGGCTTGCATCGGCGGACTGCAAAACAAGAATTAATTACACAAAATAATTGTGTAATTACCTGCAGCATTTTGTATCCCTTATACGTACAGTTACTAGGTTATAGTTATATATATATATAACCCATACGGAACTTCTTTTCATAAAACTTGCTGCTCGTTTCTAGATTTTTAACCGGATGGCAATTGGTCGCTTCACCTGGATGGCAATTGGATGAGCGGACGGTGAAGTGGAAGGTCTGAAGGTCACAGACCGTTTGGAGAACGCCCCGGTTTTTTTTTGCGTCTGCAGCGCGTCCCCGTTTTTCTTCCTAAGGAGGTTTATCAATTTAATGATTTGAATATCTAGCAATTCAATTCCCCATATTTAAGCCGCCAACCGATGTTACTTTTTTTAAACATTCCCTGAATGGTCGATGGTTTTCTCAAAGACAGACAAAGGTGCCGAGATGCGACCGATGCGACCCACACCCATAGACTGCAGTCGGTCGGAGTAGGGACCCTCTGATGCGACACCCCAACCGTAGTTTATCCATGTTTATCCATGTTTGTCCTATGGTCTTCATATGTCTTCGGTATTTTGTGCATCTGAGTTTGGACGTCCTCAGACTTTCTAAGCTGAACTAAAGCTGATGCTCCGACCTTCCCCGGTTGATGTGGTTCCGGGGAGCCGGGAAGGCTGCGGCCGGGAACGCATTTTGCCGCGAGGTGCTGAAACCTGGTCAAGGAGGTGTGGAAATGATTGAACGGACGTCGCCAGAGGGACCAAACAGGTGAGAAAACTGAGGAATTCGTGGCAAACGTTTTTTTTTTTCAACTAGACAGCACGAGTGATTCTTGGGAGAATCAAAGTGGATTTGAAGTGTTACAAACTGCGGATGAAAGCAGTGGGCCCGTCATGCCAGTCCAGACAAATTGCTAGGTGCAGCGCGAAAGTTTGAGCTCTACCCCTATGTGCTGTGCGGCGGACATGTTTTCCCAACTCAAGCAGCACAGCGTTTTCTCAACTCATCATGTTGTGTGGTCGTGCTGCTGAATTTTGCCTCCGTCCCACATGGCAGGTGAAACACACAGAGGGGAAGTGTTGCATGAAAAGCGTCCGGGCGTCAGTGCTTTTTGGAGATTTTTGGTATCAGCCTCCTGTGTATCAGTGACCTGTTCAGTGTTGTCATGTCATAACAGTTGACCGGAGAAAAGCAAGCTGTCACCAGCCTCATTCTTCCATGTGTTTGCTCGGCCAGATTGCCACCTTCCAGCATCATTCCTGGATTGAATGCGGCTTGCCAGCAGTCCATGTGCCGCTTCATGATCGACCTGTCAGGATGAGAGTGATCGTGTTTTGTTTTTTTTGGATCACGAGATTGCACGATTCAGATACTGTACCCATGCACTCACGGAACATCACGACATCATAGAGTCTCTATACAACTCTAACCGCTGGGGTACTGCTGCTTTTTTTGTTGTGCTTGGATATTCTTCAGCCATAGAAAGTTGTTACCAGAAGATGCATGTTCTTTGCTGGACGTCCTCCATCTTGCGCCAGGTGGCTGTAGATTGAGGACAGCCCGGCCACAAGCCAATCAGCTTGCATGCTCTACTACTTGCTACATTCCATTGGCAAGTGCATTAGCTTCTGCATGCTCTTGCTACGACTTCACGATCTCCCGAGATCTCCTGTGCTCGCAGGATATTCTCAAAAACTTGCGGTGCGGCTGCACGGAAAGCACCTTCCTGAGCCCTGAGCTTTTTGTTTTCGTTTGTCAGAAATGTTTTGTTCACATGATCCTGAGGACTTGACCCTCTGCTGCTGCAGCACAAGTTTTGGCAGTCTTCGCGGAATTGCGACCAGGTGCGCTGGAGAACATTGCAGGTTTCCAATTGAACTACTGTTGAAACCAGTGGTTGTGTTGTCCAACAACAGAACACCATAAGCAATTTCATCAGTCGAACTTTGAGCACGACTGGTGAGGCTGTTTTTCCTGGCTCGGACTGAAGGGTCGTTCTGAGCTATCCATCACAAAAGAAATATATATATATATATATATATTGAATGGGAATTAATTAAATTAATCAATAATTTATAATATATAAATTGAAATTAATTGATCAACAAATCAAATATATTATTGAATATTTATTCTAATATGTTATATCGATAAATTTTAATTTATTGAATTTAATTAATATAATATAAATAGGATGATAATATTGATTGTCGAATTATATATTTTATTGAATATTATATATTATTTTCGATGGATAATAAGATTTTTTTTTGGAATTAATATTGAGATTTAATTAATATATTTTTTTGGTAATATTTAATTATGATTTTCGATTGGACAAATTAAATATAAATATATTGAATTATATTATATAATTTATATGTATATAAAATATTTGATATTTTTTTTTTTTTAAATTTATAATCGAATTAAATTTTATCGGTCTATGCATTCGAAATATTTATTTGAAAGAAAACTATAATATATATATATTATTTAAATAATATATCGAAAATTATTGTGATGGAAATAACTTATTGAAATTTATAGAATATTAATATATTATATTTCCGTAATTAATTCCTAGATATTCGTAAAAAATAAATATATTTAAATATTATTGATTATATTATTATATATAAAATTGTTATTCGTGGAATGGGCATATGTAGAATTTAATTAAATTTGAATATTGATGAGGAAATATAGAAAATTGAAAGGATTTATTGATTCTTTATTGATAATTTATTCTTTTTATTTGATATGTTGTATATTGCCTATAATGCATAAAATTTGATTTTGGATGGAGGAATCTTGATCGATTTATACTTGGTGTTTGGGCATCTATATTATTATTATATTTACGATAATTAATGGATAAATTGGAAATCAACATTATTTGGGTGTTGGATCGATTCTAATCGTGGTTTTCTTTATAATATTTTTTATTGTCCTATTAATCCTTTTTTATTATCTTGATGATTAATCTTTCTAATTATTATTATTTATGGAATTTTCTTGATTTTGATTGGGATTGACCGTCAATTGCAATGGATTACAATTGATATTGATTGGAACGATATTTAATTATGATTCAGATTACTAATGGATATATTTTGGCATATTTGTATATTGAAATCATTTGATGTCTGTTTTCGGTATCTAATTGATATGTTTGCTTCTCATTTGGCAATATCTCTCGATGGGAGGGTGCGCCGGCATGATGTGGCATATTTTAGCATTAGCCTTTCATATCTACTTCAAATTTCTAATTAATATATATATATATTTCCTTTTTGATTATATCTCCTAATAGAAAACGGGATATATCCCAATATTAAAATTTATTCGATAGAATAAATGGGATCTGATTAATTATAATATTTTCATATTATAATGAATTTATATATAATGACTAATTTCTTTTTGAAATGAATTAATGATTTTTTTAGAAAATATATTGAAATAACAACAATAGAATTTAATCGATTAAATATATATCTTTAATATCTTATTTTGATGATTAATATATATGAAAAGATTTTAATTTCATTTTACCGAAATATATATGGATTTAATAGAAATTATCATCTATTGAATATTTTTTCTATTCTTTATTTGATTATACATGATTTATTTGAGGACTTTATACCGTGAGGAATAATTCATAAGATAATATCTTAATATACAAATATGAGAAAGGTTGAATCTGAATAGAGGTTTGTAAATCTTGGAGATGATTTCTATGATTTCATTATTTCTCCCCGGTTCCATGAGAATCAAATTCATCTAATCCAATAATACTTTAAGATCCATTTAATATATCAATATATCATTGAGATTAGATATCTCAGGGGATGATGGATCGATTATTAATATGTTTGCAATATAAATAGAATCTTTGATAATTCATTTTGCAAAAATATAAAATATTATATAAACATAATATAATCATAATTATATTGATTATTTTTATGGCGCAACTTCTTTTGCCTTTAATAATCATCCTTAAGGATTCAAAGATTGTTTGCTTTCATATAAAATTTATCTTCAAGAATGGGTCTCATAATATATTCATGAAATATATTCATGGTCATTTATCAAAATCATAAAATGTTAAACAATATTATACCTTTAATCTTTATAATAAAAAGATATATTTTATGAAAAACATATAAACAAATATATATTTAAATATAAATATAAAACTATATTCTCGATTTCCTTGAATCATTCAAACAACAAATTAAATATAAATATATTAAAATTGCATATTGTTGCAAATATATATATATATAGTATTTCAATAATATTTTTGAAATGTTCAATTAAAAATATATCTCGGTAAGAGACCCCAAACAGTGCGTGTGAAGTCGAAAGCAGAAAGTCTAGAGATCTAGACGCATTGGGGTCCAGAGAGGTGATGGTGGTGATCAAGTTGGGGATCGTGGTGACGGTGGCGGTGGTGGGTGAGTGAGTGAGTGAGTGAGTGTGAGTGAGAGTGAGAGTGAGAGTGAATGTGGGTAAGAGTGAGTGTGGGTGAGAGTGAGAGTGTGAGGGAGTGGGAGTGTGAGCGAGAGTGGGAAAGTGAGAGTATGAGGGAGTGTAAGTGTGAGTAAGAGTGGGAGAGTGAGTGATAGTGAGAGTGGGAAAGTGAGTGAGTGTGACTGTAACTGTGACTGTGAGTGTGAGAATGAGAGTGAGAGTGAGAATGAGAATGAGAGTGAGAGTGAGTGAGTAAGAGTGAGTGAGTAAGAGTGAGAGTGAGTGAGTGAGTGAGTGAGTGAGAGTGAGAGTGAGAGTGAGAGTGAGAGTGAGAGTGAGAGTGAGTGTGAGTGTGAGTGTGAGTGTGAGTGTGAGTGTGAGTGAGTGAGTGAGAGTGTGTGTGAGAGCGTGAGTGAGAGCGTGAGTGAGTGTGAGTGAGAGTGAAGGTGGGTGTGAGTGAGTGTGGGTGAGAGTGAGAGGGGGTGTGAGTGTGGGTGAGAGTGGGGGGATGAGTGAGTGAGTGAGTGAGTGAGTGAGGGAGGGAGGGAGGGAGGGAGGGAGGGAGTGAGTGAGTGAGTGAGTGAGTGAGTGAGTGTGAGAGTGAGTGTGAGAGTGAGTGTGGGTGGGTGAGTGAGTGAGTGAGTGTGAGTGCGAGTGAGAGTGAGAGTGTGAGAGTGGGAGAGTGAGTGGGTGTGAGCGAGGAGTGTGAGGAGTATGAGTGGGAATGAGAGTGAATGAGTGTGAGTGTGAGTGCGAGTTGAAGTGAGAGTGAGTGTTGTGAGTGTGAGTGCGAGTGGGAGTGAGTGTTGTGAGTGTGAATATGAGTGCGAGTGAAGAATGAGTGTGAGTGCGAGTGAAGAATGAGTGAGAGTGAGTGAGAATGAGTGAAAGAATGAAATTGAATATTTGAGAGTAGAAAATATTACGATTACGTCGAAATTTATATTTCGAGGTTTTAAAATATTATGGTTACTACGAAATTTATATTTCGAGGTTTATTAAATGTTACATCTGTTATGAAATCTGCACTTCGAGGTGCACTAAGCGTTGTGCTTCTTGCGAACTCTGCACGACAAGGTTCTCAAAATATTGCATTTGCTACGAAATCTGCACTTCGAGGTTTATTAAGTGCTATACCTGTTACAAAATCTGTCCTTCGAGCTTTACCAAGTGTTGTGATTGCTACGAAATCTGCATTTCGAGGTTGATTAAGTGTTGTATTTGCCACGAAATCTGCACTTTGAGGTTTACCAAGTCCTGTGCCTGCCACGAAATTTGCATTTCGAGGTTCTCCAAATATTGCCTCTACAACGAAATCTGCACTCCAAGGTTAACCAAGCGCTGCACCTGCCACGAAATCTGCATTCCGAGGTTCACCAAGTGTTGCGCCTGCGACGAAATCTGTATATCGAGGTTCACCAAGTATTGCGCCTGCCACGAAATCTGCATTTCGAGGGTCCCCAAGTGTTGCGTCTACCACAAAATCTGCAAACGAGCCATTTCTTCAAAAATCACGATTCATTGCACCTGTTAGGAAATCTGAATTCCTGGACGACCCCCGCCATGTTCAAAGTGCTATACCTGAGACGAAAAGTGCATTTCGAAATAAAACAATTTCGATCCCTTGCACCTGTCACGAAAAGTCGACTTTGGAGAACCAAAACACGAGGTTCCCTTTGCATCTGCCACGAAAAAATGACCACCATGTATCAAAATGCGCACGGCGCCGCAACGAGAGCGCAGTCGCTAGAAGCAGCCGCCGCCGGCCGCCGGCCCCCAGATTCTGCGAGCCTGGGCAATTGAAATGCACATAGATGATGCCGAGAGGCATAAATGTATTATAAATAGCACCGAATTAACCGCACACGCCCGCGCGGAACAACGATCTATACACACCTATTTTTCCATTGCCGTAAACACCCCTTAGCGTCCACATTATTTGGGGAAACAAGCAATATCCACGCCAGATGCACCCTTAAAAGAATAGCTGGGTATAATCGCGCCAAATCGCTCTAGCGACAAGAATCTAAAAAAAAAACGAACACATAAGAACAAATTAAAATTTGAGCGGCCTACAGAAGTCTAAAGAATATATATCTAAGAATACGCTCACCACATCACGCAACAAAGCAAGTGAAAGAATGAGCGAGTAAGTGTGACGAGCGTAAGTGAGAATAAGAAGTTGTGTGAGTGGGCGTTGTGAGTGTAAGTGAGAAAATCAGAATGAAAATAAATGTTATCAATATAAGAAGATAGAAGTCTAGATGTCAAGACAACAATTTAAAGAATATACACGGAAGATCAATAAAAATGAATGTGGACGTTTTTAAAATCAAAACGAAAATAGGCGCAGGTAACGATAAAAGACCAAATGCCATATATTCGTATAAAGACGCCGAATTTCGCCAAAAATACCTAGGCGAAATCACGCCAAATGCATCGGATAAAAGAATTGCTAAGGAGAATCATATCTATCACGAAATTTATACGTCGAATTTTACCGAATGTTGCACCTAACACGAAATCTACATT